ATGTTTGTAAATCCCAGGCCCTGAAGATGATCTCAATAAAAGATCGAAACGTTGGCACGATAAAGAAAATGTTTTTCTGAAACCTACATCACACCCGACCGCATCTCACGATATCTGAATTACTATTTTCTCAATTCAGTACTTGCTATAAACAGTCAAACATATTGCGCAATTGGTGATATTGTGCAATATAATTGAAGTAATATCGTTTTACTCAGTTTATTTATTTTTTTGTATTTACGCATATCTTATATATTTCTTTAAAAATATCGTGTAACAATGAAAAATAAAAATTCTAACAATTGTAAATATTTACTAAAAAATACCAGGGTGCCCACTGTTTTGCCTCTTCCTTGTTCATAGATGATTGAATCTTTACTTGATCGGGCATTCAGTCGTTATTATTAAAAGGGTTATCGGCAATTTTTATGATTCTCGATTCTCTCAACATTTTGAAGTATGGGTTAGTAAGTAACATTAATTTCTATTTTTACTATAATGTGGACTCAATTTGATCAAAACAAAGTAATTAAAAATAATAAGTTAATGATTATGGTTATACTGACAATAAGTGGCGCAAGTTCCTTTTTTTTCATCTATTACTATCATGTACATATATCTTACCTTTTCTCCGACGTGAGCGGATCCAAAAATACGATGTTGTTTTCCGAAACTTCACTGTAAACAAGTACTTCCCGTCCTGACTCTAGTGGGCCGAAATCCAGCCCCGCAGACTGCGAATATTTATTAGCTACTATAGTGACAGGCAGATCATTTCCATTATTTCCATTCAACAAATCTTCAACTTTAACTTTAAATATGAAGAAGGATGAGAGTGGTTGAAAATAAAGTTCTCCCGCTTTACTGTCAACTGCCATTCCAATGACGCCGTCCGACAGGCGAAAAGACTCTCCCATTATCTGGAAGAGAAATCAAATTGGGCTCTAACAACATATAAATCAAAAGTTTCTCAGTTCTACTCACGGAAAAAAATTCAGCATTTGGGTCTGGGTACATCGAAGGATGTGTAGACCTGGAAAATCTGGACGTCCGAGCGTCATATGTGACTATACCTGGGGCGTAGGTGTCGGATAAAAAGGCGACTGTGTTGTCTAGGCAGTTTTGGTCCGTTGGGTTAGTAAGGAGCACTATGTTGGTGAAAAGGGAATGGGCGTCGATTACGTCCTTTGGCAAAGTGACACGTCTAACAAGACGGTCTGTCCTTGTATCGAAGATTAAAATTTTCGGGGGACAAACAGCTCGATAATAGGTGAAATCGTAAACGCCCGAGTCAAGGACCCAAAAATGCTGGCATTGGTCTAATCTCATACGATAAACGGATATTATCCCTTCGCAATCATCCTCTCTCGCGTAAGCCGCACTTTCGTGCCATGACCAATCAGGATAAGCCTGCAAAATACAATAATTATACATAAGGAATATTAAAAAAATTTCAAGTTCAACGACACAGATTAATGTACTTCGCCTTGCTCGTAATCTATATTTTTGTGTTCAAGAATAACTATGCTATTTCCTTCGTCCGCTTTTTGCAGTTTGATTCGTTACTCGTACGGCAAAGTTCGTCAGATGGTTCTTCACCTCTTGTCCAACAAAAAATTCGTTGAACCATGGTACGATTCTCAACTCTTCGCAGATATTTAATATTTCTTATTTTATACAACTATCTACGGTTTTCGTGTATTTAATATTTCTTATTTTATACAACTATCTACGGTTTTNATGTCCGAATGGATCGAGGTCACGATAGCTCAGGTGGTAGAGCAGCGGCGTATCTAGCCGAAGGTCGTGGGTTCGAATCCCTCTCGTGCCATTGACTTTTTTCATCTCAACTAAAAACCTTAATTAATTGTATTGAAAAGAGCGTTAAAATTTCTTTAGGGCACTCTTACAGAACTTTCAATTTAATTTTGGGGGAAAAACGAACACTAAATCTTTCAAAAAGTACTAAATTTAATAAAATTGGGAAAAAATAAATTTGCAACTTCATTGAAAAAATCCATGGTAGAGCATGGCAAATTTTATAAAAATTTCTTCATTTAATAAGCTGTCTAGAAGTCTTTTCTTTTATCACGTCGAACCAAAATGCTGAAAGGTGTTAATCTAGTAATTCAACATTTTGTCCTGGGTAAAATTTATATTTCAACTTTCACTTAACAAAAAAGCACAAAAAGAAAGAAACATTAATTAAAACACAAAAAAGAAATGATAAGAAGCTACATAGCGAACAACGGAAGCAGAAAAATTGGACGAAATACCTACACAAAACACAGACAAAAAAAAAACAGAAGTTGTAAAACACGGCTTTAACCTATTAAAAAAGAACAAAAAGAAAGATTTTTTCTCGTAAAAATCAAACAAAACACAAAAAATAGACAATAAACAGCGACTAACCAAATTGAAGTTGCATTTTTCTTTCTTTTGTGCTTTTTTGTTTAGTGAAAGTTGGTAAATATTTTTTTTAGAAATTTTAAATTTAGCAGTTTTTGATTGACTAACAGTTTGTTTTTTACTCAAAATTAAATTGAAAATTGTAGAAGGGTACCTTCAAAAAGGAAATAGCAAAGGAGTGGCCACCTCCTGGTCGCTGCCCCCCCCCCCCATTGCAGCGTATACACGGCAGAACTGTATGCGATCTGGTACGCTCTCGAGGCGGTGCGGACCGACGAAGGATCAGCCTTCCTCGTATGCACCGACTCTCTGAGCGCTGTCTGGACCCTGCGAGACGGGTTCTCTGTTGACCCTCTCGTCGTGCTGTTGATGGAAAAAATCGCCGAGTTGAAGCGCTTCGGAAAAACGGTGGTTGTTGTCTGGATCCCCGGACACGTCGGGCGGACCATCGCGACCAAGCCCTCTGACGCCAAGCTAGCAGTAAAGACCATGATAAAAGAAAGATGGCAGCGTCAGTGGGCCGGGTCGTCCGAGAGGCTTTTGCGCGTCAAGAGCACGATTCGTAGATGGCCCCCCGAGAATCTGAGCCGGAAACAAGGAATCGTCCTTTCACGATTAAGAATAGGCCATACACGGTTGACACACGGCCACCTGCTCTTGGGCCAAAGCCCGCGCAGGTGTCCCTTATGCAGAGAAAGGTTGCTCGATGTGTCCCACATATTGGAAACATGCCATGCCTTGTCTCCCTACAGGGAGCGCGTAGGCATGCCATCCAATCTGAAGAAGGTACTCGAGCACTGCAGCGAGTTTCAGGGTCCCCTGTTCCGATTTTTAGGGGAAATTGGTTTTTTTTATTGTATATAGTATGTCTCATGTGTTGTGTGTCTATATGTTTGTCTGAGTGCATGTATTTATTAGCGTGAATGGCGAGGGGTGAGGGTGAAATATAACATCATCATCGCCCCTCGAACGTTGAGAGCGTATGAGTATGTGTTCGGGGTCGATGGCGGAATATTGATAAAAGTCTCCATCGACCCCAATCTAGTTTAGTTCGAGTATAGGTCGGTGGAGGAATATCAAGTACTCCACCGATCAAACGGAATGAGTGTATTGTATGGATGAATTTATGTGTATGAATGTATTTATCTGTATGAATGTAGTGTTCGTAAATAGAATATTGACTTAGCTTGGGGCTGAAATGACCCAGATGTCGGAAGCCCCAGTAAAAATAAAAATACCTAAAAGGATTGAGAATAAGACCATAGTTCATACAACCTTTTTTGTTGCATTTGAAGTGTAGAACCACCTGACGAACTTACGCATAGTGACCGTTTTTTTAATTGTTACCTATCAAGAGATTTTCTTAATAGATAATAGATTCTATCAATTCTACGTTTAGTTTAATTAATTTTTTTCTTTTAATACAAATCAGTAGCTGGTAGAAAGCCATTTCACGCAAGACATGTATATTATTGATGAACTTTTGTAGGTTTTTCAAAGAAAAAAGTCGAAGATGTCAAGAGCTGTACCAGATTCGGGATTGTAAGTTGTCAATCCTTCCATTTTTGAGTAAAATCCCGACTTTTTACCAGACTTACTGAAACAGTCAAGAAAAACACAAGACTCTTCAACTGAAAAATCAAGTCTTTATCCAAAACAGTTGGCAATTGTGTCAGATAACAGGCTGGAATTTAACAACAGGCATAATTCCTGTAAACCTTGGATTGGCACAGTTGGAAATTTCTGAACACACTTTTATTCATTATTTTAGACTAAGGGAATTGTTTAATCAATTAGATTATTTGGAAGAATTTTATAACCATGTATCGAGGATTGTCTACTCTAATAATATTTTGTTAAAAAGTAAAAAAGTAGATTATGTAACTGATAACAGTAGTAAATCAAGACATATTGTAAATACTTTAAAATTAATTAATCATACAAAAAATGCAATTGCAGAAAAGTTAGAAATACTTTTTGTAGAAAATAAGAATAATGCTGGAATGTAAAGAAGTTTATTTAATGGTATAGGATCTATTTTAAAGATATTAACTATTTTCTTAAACCCAAAACGCATATTCATAATATAGATATTATAAGTCTAAATAATTATAGTAAACAAACTAAATTGAAATATCTTTGCTCATACAAACAAATCAGCCTAAGGACAACCTGTGCGACAAGGCCATACTTCTTTCTGGTGATCCATCGAACTGTACATACCCAGAAACCGACAATCACCTGACATGGATACCTGAGCTCAACCCATGAAGAACCTACTAGTATAAGTCGCCAGGATGAGACTACAGTAAAACGACTAAAAGGAGTATTTTTACTGAACATCAACGGCAGTAAAGTGGTCTACAGGAGCAGAGAATTGTACCACTCGCCAATCATCAGGACTTCCTACATTTCAACGTCCGTGAGCATATGGACCATGCCAGTGTACTGTTTATTGGTCATAGCCTCAGCTTATGGATTCTTCACATGGTATCGCAAGCGGAGACAGCCCTTGGCCATTGCAACCCCCATCAATCAGCCGCCCCCGGGAGCTTCATTTGGAGATGGAGGAGTTACACCCGCACAAAAACCTTAGTTCAGCGACAGTTGATGTTTGTAAGCAAAAAACCCTTCCCTGTTAACTATTCACATTACACTTGTGAAGACAGATTGAGATTAATCATATCCATGAACAGGAAAGGTTCTTCTCAAATTGTAAGTGTGTTTAACTAATACAGTTTTTTTTAAAAGACTCTCGTTTAGTCAACACACGTAACTTTATATATATATATAAATGTTACCATTGTGGATGTAACTTATATATATTTAAAAAAACCATTATATTTTCACAATGTTTATTTTTTACTTTTAATAGGCCTACAAAGTTTTTCAAAAATGATGTTGTTGATGCGATGTTATTTCTGGATGAAATTCATATAAAATCAAAAGAAGAGAGTAAAAACTTTTTTTCTAATATAATGCCATTGTTGGAAATAATTCCTACATGTACAGCTACTGACAAAGTGCTGCCTCAAATGATTAGAGCTTTTGAATATGGTTGCGATGGAGCATGTCTCATTCAGCCTATGATGGAGGTAAATCTATAAAATCTATACACAAATATATGTCCAAAACGTAAATTTAATGATTGAAATGACAAATCAATGTTTTTATTCTATTCTTGATAGATATCTAAATCTCTTCAAAAGCCAAAATATCAACAAATAATTCTGCCTTTTTTGCTTAAATTGTTTGCCTCAACAGACAGGGCAACAAGAAGTTTATTGCTCCAGAATATTGAACACATCATAGGTAAGAAACAAATGTGGCAATTTAATGTATAATAATAACTGATTATTAGCAGATTGAATACCTTCTGCAATTTTGTTTTACCTTTTCTTGGTTTAAACTTAACTTAATGTTAAAAATAAATNAGAAATCGTGAGATGCGGTCTGGTGTGATGTAGGTTTCAGAAAAACATTTTCTTTATCGTGCCAACGTTTCGATCTTTATTGAGATCATCTTCAGAGCTCAAAGTATTTATCTTCTGTGTAATTGTGCCATTCTTGCGTGTCGTGTTGAGAGTGCCCTCGACCCAACACTAACGCAAGAATGGCACAATTACACAGAAGAAAAACACTTTGAGCCCTGAAGATGATCTCAATAAAGATCGAAACGTTAGCACGACAAAGAAAATGTTTTTCTGAAACCTACATCACACCTGCATCTCACGATTTTTAAATAAATTAGTTTTTGTTTTGGTTTGGATATTAAATTGTTCAAAGAAGAGAGCCTCGAAGACATTAATGTTAAACTACCAGGACTTCATTGAACTTTTTATGATAAAATGTTTCAACCTACCTACATCCATGCTATTGTTCCCTGTTGAAAATCTTTTTACCATTTGACTTAGTTATATGATAAATTTCTTTTTAAAGCCTGTAGCTTTTTTGTTAGTTGTTACTGATAAGATACTATTGTATTATTACAATGACAACATTTCCAAACTATTATATGTTAATTAATTCGACAAGATAAAATATATTGTGAAAAAACACTAATTTTAAATAACTATTTATAAACAAGGACAATTGGTGGAAGTTATAACAATCAACACTGTAAATTCACAAATGCATGAAAGAAAAATATACCACTAAATACTACTTACATAGTCCACCATAGAAACCTGAGAACCAACTATTGTTACTGCTTAAACTTGGAAATATAAGTCAAACTAACGACTTATTTAATTTTGTCATTGGCGAACTATTCCTCAATCGGCACACATACACACAATTTCAATTATTTACCAATTCCGCAACCATGTATACTTTTTTCAGAAACGCCCCAACTCAGCGTATCATGTCGAATCACCCCGAGTGCGTGCCTGAATCCATACAGCTCCACCGGATAAACATTGCAATATCGCGGGAGCTGAACCCCCGTTAAGCCGGGAACATACTTATCGATGCTACGTCATGCGACGCTACCCGATGCAAATCCAAACTCCGATTTTCCATAGGTTGCATTACCCCCGTGCACATTTATCCGACGCAAGTACACGTCGCGTACAGTCCATAGCGTTTATCACAATAATCACTATCACAATCGCAACGCATCTTTTGTTCTTAATGCACTATTTTGAGCAAAACCTTGTAATAAATTGTTAGTTAAATTTTATGAGCACAACCATCTAATAAATTGTTTGTTAAACTTAATTGTTTTAAATAAAGTTACTCCTAACCATCATAATTAAACAATGTTTATAAAAA